CACACACACACACACACACACACACACACAATTCACACATTAACCTTTTCTCAACTGGACATTAGCAACAACACGTGGTTTGTTTGTTTGTTGTTGTTTTTTTTTGCTTTTGCTTGAGTCTCACGCCCTACTAGACAGTGGGATCATTAACATGAGAGCAGCAAAGCATAATTAATTTATGACCCCTTCTCTGACCACTGGGTTAGATTTATACTATCGCTGTGAGGATGAGAAGTGTACTATCTCTGTGACAACAAGAGGTATACTATCCCTCTGAGAATAAGAAGTATACTGCCCCTGTGAGAATAAGAAGTATACTATCCTTGTGAGAATAAAAAGTATACTGCCCCTGTGACAACAAGACGTATACTATCCCTCTGGGAATAATAAGTATACTGCCCCTGTGAGAGTAAGAATTATACTATTCCGGTGACAATAAGAAGTATACTGCATTTTTGAGAATAAGAAGTATACTATCCCTTCGAGGATGAGAGAAATACTAATTCTGTGAAGATACAAAGAATACTGTCGCAGTGAGAATGGGAGGAACCTCATCCATGTGAGGATGAAGTGGTTTATTAAATATGCCTGAGAGAATGAGAAGAATTCGTCTTCTGTTCAAACTAAAAACTTCAATTTCAGTACATTGACCAAGTTCAAAAACAATAGTAACACCCTGGTTAGTAAGCTATGGTATGGACCTTCCACTCGTGTGTCGCCGAGGATGAATACATTGTAACGCGGACAGATTCTTGAACCAGAATAGATCTGAAACGGAAGCAAAATGTGCTGACTGAGAGTTCCGTTGCGTAAACATTGATTACCCAAGCCCCACTTACAGCGGAAAGCCCGTCTCCGAAAGGCACTGTTTCTGTCTAGGAGGGTGAAAAACATCTAGCAAGATCGAGAAGACACAAACAATATCGACGAACTTTATTTAAAGTGTTTTCTCTTCCTCTTGAGTTGAGAGTATTTCTGCTCCCCATCGACACAATTTAGATACAATTTAGGAGGCACGATCAACCCGGGCTACTGAGAGGGAAGAGGGATACAAAATCCTAGCAGAAAAAACCCCGAGAAATTCTATAAAAATTCTCACCATTCGGGAAGCAAGCTCGGGTCTCCTGCGTGCGACAGCGAAATGCCTTATTGCGCCCCCGCAGACTCTGTGAGTCTGTGAGTGGGGTTATGAAGGCGTACTTTACAAAGACACGACCGAGACGACGCCATCTCTTTATTTCAGCCTCAGATGTTATCAACAACTCTGTGGGTGGTTCTTTCTGTATCGTCACACACGAAGTCACACCTTTGTTTCAACCACAGACTTTTTCGACAGCTATGAGTGAGGCGTTTGAAGGCGTACTCTATACAGATACCTCGCCAAGTCTTAACATCAACCACAGCCGTGTTCTCCAATCTGAGTATTTTTCAGTGAAAGTGTTTTACTCACCCACTCACACATTTGAGATTATTCAGGAGGCGGGCTTCCGGCCCTGCCTGCCAATTGATACAACATTCCAGTAGAAAAAGATCCCAAGATACTCATTAGAAGTTGTCTCCATTCGGGAATGGAACTGGGATCTCATGAGAGCGACAACGAAGCGCTATATTGCTACATCACAGACGCCGGTCTCCTATCTGAGCGTGGATTAGCGAAGGCCTACTTTTTAAAAAAGCGACGGAGACAACGTTATCTTTTTACTTCAACTTAAGATGTTATCAACAACTCTGCGGGTGGTTCTGTGTCGGAAAACACGAAGTCACATCTTTGTTTCAGACCAAGGCATTTTGAACAGCTATGAGTGGAGCTGTGAAGGTATACTTTGTACAGATACCTCGTAAACTGTTTTTATTAACGGCAGCCGTTTTCTCCAATCGATTGGGATTTTATTCAGTCTAAGTGTTTTTACGCCCCTATCGACAGAATTAAGATCGTTCAGGAGATAGACTCCCAACCCTGCCTGTCAGTGCCAACCCGGACTGAAAGGGATACATCATCCCTGCCGAAAAGAAAACGAGATACTTGATAAAAATTCTCCCCACCTGGGAATCGAGCTCGGGTCTCCTGCGTACGACAGCGAAACGCCTTACATCTACACCACTGACGCCGGTCTGTGAGTTGGGTTCTGAAGGGGTACTTTATAAAGACACCACAAAAACAATGTCATCTACACTTCGTTTCAACCACAAACGTTTTTAACGACTCTGTAAGTGGTTCTTTGTCGGCGAACACAAATGTCATCTCTTTGTTTCAACCACGTTTTCAACAGCTATAAGGGGGCCTGTGAATTCGTACTTTATACAAACACCTCGTCATAGTCTGAAGGGTCGCTTGCCAGAGGGCGAACGAGCTGTCATCATTAGATCCCACGATAACAGCACGGGTTATCCCAGCTTCCCGATTCGAGGTGACAATAGAGAATTCTGGGCCAGTATTCAGGTGACTGTATGACGGGTCATCTTTTGTCACATGACCTAGTGCGAGTGGCGAACCATGGCTGTTTTAGAAGTAGCACTTGAAAAAGACTTGAAGAAGCTGATGCTTAGAACTGGGGACTATTATAGTGCGGTCAACAATTCGTGGTGAAACTTATCCTCAAATATCTCTTTAACAAGTGAATAAATGTCCTTCATACTTTGCAGAGCAGTTTTTATCAGTCTGTCTTAACAAAATCATATTTTCCCTCAACAATTGAGGGTAAATTTTTTTAAAAACGTTTCTTCTCAAATTTATATGAAATACTATACATCTCTGTCACGTAGAAAATGGGATTGTTTGCAGCACTTCCCGTTTCTCACACACATTTTGTATACGCATATGGCTTACGTCACAGCTCACCAATGCCAATTTTTAGTTGTAAAACTTGTTACAAGAAATGTATTTTAAAGTGAACACTTATTTGCACAATAGGTTCTCAAAACGTGCGTTCAATAAGCATAATGTCGCGGTTTTAAAAAAACATTATTGTCCCAACTGTAAAACTTTTTTAATCTGTAGAAACCACCCACTGGGTTTTTTTAATTAGTATTTATAAAGGAATTTTCTAGAATACAGTTAACAGGTCTTTACAAAAATATCTGTTAAGACTAAATCTGGAGAGTATAATTTGATAGTAGAGGAAATATTTGACAAAAAGTTGCACTATGAATCTTTGACTGCGCTATATCGGTGTTTGCTTTGCGTAAAAAATAGACGATTTTTTGTGTACGCAATAAATATACTGTGTTTATATTTTGCGTTAGGGAGACATTATTCTTACGCTTCAATTGGCCCGATTTAGAATATTAAAGTATAACAGGCGGGATTTGCATTTCACGACCAACCGTGTGGTTGGTGTTATTATTGCTTTTGTTATCGTTGTTTTTGTTGTTGGTGTTGTTGTTGTTGTTGTTGTTGCTGTTTCTGTTGATGTTAACGTTGTTGTTATTATCATAACTCTTGCTGATGTTCTTGATATTATCACCATGCTGGTCGTCTATACACAGTGTAGGACATTTGAATAACGCAACTCCTGCGTCATGGCAGGATGGCAACCCGTGAGAATAACCTAAATAAATATTACACAGGTTATTGGAAAAAAAACCCAGCCAAATTCAAACCTTTTCTGACCCGTATTTGTCAAGTTCGTCACTCGACTCCGAAAGGATCGAAATTATCTCTATAAAGGGCTTAAAATATTATTTAATCAGCATAAAAATCAAGTGTTTAGCCTGTCATACACAGACACCCCTCCCCCCCCCCCCCCCCCCCCCCCCCCCACACACACACACACACACACACACACACACACACACACACACACACACACACACACACACACACACACA